TCTTTTATAAGTTAAACTGTATATGTATTTTATATCTACAAATATGTTGGGTAGAACATGGGTAGATGAAATAGTTGGTGTGTGATGAAATAATCTGATGAGGGATAGGTGAGGAGATAATGGTGATGATTAGGAGACGATAGATAGGTGATGGATTACGAGTCCAGGCGATGTTGTGGCTGCGTATTCATGCGATGATAGTCTAACCCTTATTATAAATTACGAGTCCAGGCGATGTTGTGGCTGCGTAATCATGCGATGATACTCCAACCCTTACTAGACACATATTGAGGGAGTGATCCCCGAATTAATATTGGCTATGCGATGTAGGCGATGATCCTTAGGAAAAGTTCTTAGGAACAAACATGTAAGGAAATAAGATGTAAGGAGATGAGAAGTAAATGTGATATAGGAGATGACCGTGAGGATAATATCTTTAGGAAAGATTAAATAAAGAGAATGGGGATGGGTAATTGGGCTGATTGTTTGATTGTTTAAACATAATAATTATATTATTGTGGGTTGAAAACCCTATGTACTCACCAGGTTTCCCAACCTGACCCACTCCAGCGTATTTGTATCACAGGTGTCGATACGAAGCTACTTTACACTGAGAGATTTGAAAGAGATGTAGATCACTAGTGATAATGAATGTAAGTTATGTTTATGCTTATGTTTCTGTATTGACGATGACATCCCAAATGTTTTAAAATGAATAAAAATATATTTCTTCGGAAATATTTTGATAACGTATTTATCATGTTTTCTGGGAACAAATTCCGCAAGATTTTTATTAAAAGAAGTACTCTGATTTTTATAAAGCATAAACAAAAATCGGTCTTTTCTGGCCGTAAAAATGGGGATGTCACAGTTGGTATCAGAGCATTAGTTTAAGTGAACTAGGAATTTGTAGGAAATTTCTAGACTTAAACTTAGAATGCTAAGTGATGATCGTGAGATGAATGTCTACCATATTTTAGACACGAGCACTAGTATATTTTAGGAAAGATGCCTAAAATGCTTTTATATGCTAAATGTTTTATGATGCCTTATATGCTATTATTTGTTCGGATCTATGGTCTATTGCCGACCGGATCTGGAAGTTTTATGTGTTCAGATTTCTAAACGTTTAATTACGATATTAGAACTGGCATGTAACTTTTCGGAGTAATAAGGAGTATTACACGTCTAAATCTTTTCTATCTATATTCTCGTCTTGATGCGCTGGACGCGTGCTTCCGTGAATGTAACGCGATGGTGAAGGCTCGTAGCAAATTGAGTAAACGGAGGAAACGAAAAGGCTTATGATAGCGAATGACACCTATCGGAAGATATCGTAAGAGTGGTGTCTTGTCGTTAGTATATGTCAAGCAGTGCGTTTAGAAGAGTACGGTACGTCTGAAGTACACCTTCGATTGGTGGGATGATGGAATATTGGTGTTATTCATGAAGTTGTCCCATCGGATGAACTTTCCACCACCAACCAAGTTGAAGCAGGATTGATGACTGGAGATACATCTGGCCTAGTCAATTTAGAGGCAATAAGTGTCGAAAACGACTTTCCGACAAAAGATTATTTAGAATAAATAATCTTAACCAAGTTGTAGAATATGTCTCAGGGTTTCCGTACATATAAAGAATGCCGAAATCCGAGTTATAACGAAGAAGTTATGACCCGTCGAAGTTTTACGGCAAAACCGGCACGACACCGGGAAGCGTAAAAAGTGAATTTACGTTAGAGCGATATTTAGCCTTAGCAATCTAAATGAAAGTTGTAGAGTTCGTTAAACCGTGAGCGTGCATAAAAAGGAACGTCCAAATCTGACTTCGTATGAGGAAGTTATGATTTTCCAAAGTTTCGACTTAGCAGTATACAGCCTGAATACTCGATTTGAGATCGAGCGATTTTTAGCCGAAACAATCTAAACAAGAATTGAAGATCTCGTCATTAGTAGTGCAACGGTAAAAAGACAGACGAAAACGGACGTCGGATGAAGAAGTTATGATTTTATAACGAAGTTTTCCTGTCCCGGCTTACTAAAAATAATATAATAAAAATAAATTCAAAATTAGCCGACGGAGTCTAAATGAAAGTTGTAGAGCATAATCTCACCTACGCGTGGATATAAAGAACGTCGAAAACGGAGCTCGTATGCGAAAGTTATGAATTTTTGAAGATCATGGCACGCACACCAAAGCTTATCCGAAGCGTACGCCCAGCGTAACCAAGATTACGCCCAGCGTACTGAGTACGCCTAGCGTACTTGGAAATTACGCCCAGCGTAATCCCAGACCCAGCAGCCTATAAATAGAAACCGAGATCAGCCATTTTCCTTGCCATTTTTCTTCCTTTCTCTCTAAGTTTTGCATCGTTTTGCGTGCCAATCATATCCCGAAGCCCCGGTATCATTCCCGAGCCCCGAGGCAAGTTCCAAAGCCCCGGGGATCCCGAGAAGTGAAGTTTCCGAGCCGAAACTCTGCCCGCGAGAAGCCCGGTTTTCAAGAAAAACATCTCGGTTTTATCGGAAAAGTTTATTTTAAGAGACGAGGTGCTATCCGATCATTGTCTTATCAAGTGAGTGCATAGTTACTTTCTTCTAACACATAAATATGAAGTATTTTCTATGAAATACGTGCTATGTGTTTATATATTATTGTTTATTTGAAATGAGTGTGGAATGGATGTTTTATACAGTTTTTCTTTTATAAGTTAAACTGTATATGTATTTTATATCTACAAATATGTTGGGTAGAACATGGGTAGATGAAATAGTTGGTGTGTGATGAAATAATCTGATGAGGGATAGGTGAGGAGATAATGGTGATGATTAGGAGACGATAGATAGGTGATGGATTACGAGTCCAGGCGATGTTGTGGCTGCGTATTCATGCGATGATAGTCTAACCCTTATTATAAATTACGAGTCCAGGCGATGTTGTGGCTGCGTAAATGCGATGATACTCCAACCCTTACTAGACACATATTGAGGGAGTGATCCCCGAATTAATATTGGCTATGCGATGTAGGCGATGATCCTTAGGAAAAGTTCTTAGGAACATACATGTAAGGAAATAAGATGTAAGGAGATGAGAAGTAAATGTGATATAGGAGATGACCGTGAGGATAATATCTTTAGGAAAGATTAAATAAAGAGAATGGGGATGGGTAATTGGGCTGATTGTTTGATTGTTTAAACATAATAATTATATTATTGTGGGTTGAAAACCCTATGTACTCACCAGGTTTCCCAACCTGACCCACTCCAGCGTATTTGTATCACAGGTGTCGATACGAAGCTACTTTACACTGAGAGATTTGAAAGAGATGTAGATCACTAGTGATAATGAATGTAAGTTATGTTTATGCTTATGTTTCTGTATTGACGATGACATCCCAAATGTTTTAAAATGAATAAAAATATATTTCTTCGGAAATATTTTGATAACGTATTTATCATGTTTTCTGGGAACAAATTCCGCAAGATTTTTATTAAAAGAAGTACTCTGATTTTTATAAAGCATACACAAAAATCGGTCTTTTCTGGCCGTAAAAATGGGGATGTCACAGAAAACAATGCTCGTAGATAATGTATGTTGAACTACCGGTATCGATGTATACCCGATGGATAGTAATATCTTTGATGAATCCTTGGATTATGAGTGGGTCGTCACCTCACTAGCCTGCCAGTCGAGGATCATTCGCTGAAAACGTCAAGCCCTACATGGATCTAGTGAGGTTGTCAACAACACCTTGTTCCTCCTGACTTTTCCTCTTTGACCTTATCATCATGATTTCATGAGGTTGGTCACGCTCCCTGGCTGAGTCCTTGGCATTCTCGACATTAAATTTAGCACAGAGGCTTCGTGCTACCTCGACGAGGTTCCCTTTCAGTTGTTTTTATTCCATTTCCCTTTTCAACACCGAGCAGTTGACGATGTCATGCGTCTTACTCTTGTGGTACTCACAATACCGTCCTTTTCCTCCCTTCATCGGTTGCTTGTCAGAGACTGCATAGATTTTTGGTCGCCTGCCTCTTTTTTCGTCTCTTTGGAATGGCCTAAAGCGTCCTTACGGGCGCTTTCCTCGCCCGAAGTGTCTGCACCCCCCCCCCGGGGGTTTCCGGGTGGTGTGATGGTGAGTTGTGGCACTTTGTGGCCGAGACGGTCATGGCATTCAGGTATGCTTGCTTCATTGCCTCCCATTCCTATTGTCTCACGTAGCGTTGTACTTTTTCTTTTAGCTCAACCCACGTCTGAGGTTTTTTCTCCATGAGCTTCTGGGTCAGCAGTCCCGGGAGGAGTCCCCACGTGAAGGCGCCTGCTATTAACCCTTCGTCGTGGCCTGGTACGTCTAGTGTGGCATTAGTGAACCTGGTGAAGTATTCTCGCACCGTCTATCCTTCCTTCTGCTTGCAACCGATGATCGAGTGTGAATCTCCCTTGAAATTACGCAGTTGCATGAAATTCGTCAGGAAGAGATACTTTAGTTGGTCGAAGTTGTAGATACTCCCTGGTCGCAGCATCTTGAACCACGTTCATGTGTTGCCGTCTAAGGTTGTCGGGAAATACGTACACCAGAATCGATCGTCTAGCTTGAGTGAGGTCATCGTCCACTCATAAATATCAATGTGGTTATCCGGATCCGTGGTTCCATTGTAGGTCTTGAGGTGTGGTAACTTTGTTGTGTTTGGAATTTCGTAGTCTATGAGCTCCTTGGTGAACGGAGATGTTACACTATGCGATAGACAGTCTTGGTTTGGGATAGAGAGAGCACCCTGTGGGTTATACTGTTGGGTGGTCAGGTAAGGTTGCATTAGCATGTTGTTGTATGCCGAGAGGTGGCCAGGGTTTGGTCCGTAGAATGTTTGTTGTTGAAATAGGAAGGTTAGTGTTTGGGTGGACACAAATGGATGATGATGTGGGATTGTGGTGTTGAATGGTATATTTGTCACAAACGGAGGTGTTAGTGTTTGGAAAGCCATTGTTTGATCTCTCACCGTCTAGTTCAATGGTGGTGTTTGGAAAACCGTAAGTTGTTCTCCCACCATTTGGTATAGTGGTGGTGGTTGCGACAAGACCGGTGTGCCGCCGACTTTGTCCACCGTTGGTGGTGTTGCACTGCTTGATATCACTGTCACATGTGGTGTTTGCAAGGGGGTGCTTTGTGCCATTACGACTGCATAGGAAGCTGGTCCTTCGACGGTTGACCTCTGTAATTCGTTTGTTGGAGTGGTGGTTACCATCGAGCCGCCTTGTTGTGATGCTTCACCGGTGAGTGGTGTGAGAACTGGGGCGATAACTTGTTCCAACGACATCATAGGTCTGATGGGGCTTGTTGGTGTCCCACCAGTTCCGCCGGTGTCACCGGATGCCATTCTTCAAACGATGAGGAGTGTGCTTTTTGTTTGTTTTTCATCACACTACAGATGGCGCCAAATGATGCGACCTGATCACCAGACGTTAACATCGTACGCTTTTAATGATTCCGATGAGCCTGCAAGGTCACAACGAGAGAAAACCGTCAGCCGTTCTCCGGGAGGCGGCTCCCGGGAAAACGCTCTGACGGTCAAGTCAGTGGATAGACTTGGGAGTATTTGGGGTAAAACCAGAGAGAGAGAGAGAGAGAGAGAGAGAGAGACTTACTTTCCAAGGCACCAGGAGTGTCCTTTTATACTGAACCCTTCTGCTAGTCCGTATAGGACATGGGCGTCAGACCCAACAGGATCGGGGATGCTGATTGGATGATCGTGCTCCTTAATCTGTCAGAGCCAACGATTGGTTCAGGTGGTAATGCTCTGAGCATCTGCCTTGCCGCCTGGAGCCGTTACACTTTTGTCGCAGAGTGGAAGGCGCCCCTGGCGGGGCCGTGCCTTCTCTTCAGGTGCCTTGTTTTTAGGGGCGCTAGCGGGCGCTAAGTACCTTAGGGCTCGTTCTGCTAGGCGTGATATGCCTTAGGGAATTCTCTGGCACGTCTAAGCGCAACTCTTCATTCGTGCCAACGGCACGTCATCATATATATATATATATATATATATATATATATATATATATATATATATATATATATATATATATATATATATATATGAGGACCATACATCAAAAAACTAGAATCAGTATTTCAGACACTCAAATTCCGAACCTGTTGCTACCAAAATTTCGAAAAATTTTAAGTCTTTTCTACCACAGATTCAACAAACTAAATTAGTTTTACTGTTTAATTTATTTGCATTACAGAATACATAAAATCTTTAGTCTGAAGTTGTTTTTCGTATTCTGAAATCGTTACCATTCCAGAATCACTTTTCTATAATAACCGTATAAGTATCTTAAATTTTGTTAGCACCACTCCTTAGAGATGAAAAAAAGTCTAGATTGCCCATTAAAACTGATTCTAGAATGGTACTATTAGTTCGTAATACGAAGAACGTAATCTGGAATGTCCGAAATATGAAGACCATTTCCGGAATGTTAGTCTGAAATGTAGGTTAAGAGGCCTTTTATTTTTGTTTATGATATTGTTAAATTATTTTTTTAAATGATTTCCGTTAAACCAATATCTTGTATTAGTCCGAAATAAGAACCAATTCATTCGAAAATCAATTTGTGTGGATGATGTTAAAAAAATGGGTTTTACAGACGAATAAATTATTTTCCATCTACATGAGTTTTCAGAATTACCCAATCTTTTCTGGCGTCCAATAAAAAAATGTTGGACGTTTACATGTGACTTGCAAATGATTAAACTTGAAAATATCCACATACAACAACTACAAAAAAACATATATATCATATAAGTTAACTTTTTAAAAGATGTAACATTAATAATAAATATATGTATAATCATATATGATTAATTATATATTACACTACATAATCATATATGATTATTCATATGTACTTATACAATGTAATATATCATTAATCATATATTAGACTGTATAATTGTATATGATTATAAATTCTAATATACGATTAAAAATAAAAACAAACATATATATTACAACTGAAAAAAAAATATTTAATATTAAAAACTAGTTCACATACCATAAGATATGTTGCTGGTCCATAAAAGAAAGATGATTCTCTCTCTGGGCTGTAAACCTTCTTTGTCCTTATCAAACAATCGACAATAAAATCGCACCAGTCAATCAAACTTAAATCAGTACCTCTTCTGTTTACATACAGTTGATTCAGATTACATTTTACCATGCTTGTAGACTCACAAAATGTATTGATAAACCGAAACAAAAAATTGATTCTAAAGTTATAATTTGTTGCACTAGTCTGAACAAGTTCATTCTTTAGCTGCTTCAATCTCAATTTATTAATATTTCCATATTGTTTCTTCCACTCAAGCATGCAACTCTCTTCATCATGTTTCGGAATGTAATCCAAGCTTGAAAGTAATGTACCACTAAATGGTAATCCTAACATCTCATGAACAAACTTGCTATTAACACTCACTTGACAGTTCTCAAACTCCACCTTCAAACTTTCAAAATTAAAATGATCAAGAACATAATAAACAATCTTCAACGGTACATCCATAACCCTAACACACTACTTTTGTTCTCTACTTAAACCCCGAATAACACCCAACAATGACCCTGATGAGCATCTGTTCTTCATTGAAGGAAATTCTTTTATCACAACACCGTTTTTCTCTTTCTTCGCGACTTTAGCTTCTATTTTTGGTTTCTTTGGAGATACATGACACCTCTTAAAATCAGAATCATCTCCAGCAGATAGTTCACATTTCTTACTTAAGGTTTTGACCTTCTCCAAAACATTTTTTTTCCCTTAACTGTCAGTTTCTCACTTAGTTGTTCAATATTTGGTTTTTTAGATTTTTTTTGATCGGGTTTCAGCTGCTTCCTTAGCATTTTCGTCTTTTGAAAATGATTTTGTCTACCTTGAGCTTTTTATTGATACCTTCTTTGTAATATTACTAGGCAAATATTCGCGCGTTGCGCAGAACACAAAAATGTATTTGAAATATTTACAAATATATGTTTTTTAAATATATCAATGACGTTGTTGTTAGATCTTATATAATAAATCATATAATAAGTTGGTATAAACATTGTTTGTTTTGAATTATATGATAATATAGACATATTTGAAAATTCTATAATCTCAATTGTCTCAATGACTTCGACATGCGGGGTACTCATGAATAAAATTAAATATAATATATGGTTTAATGATATTTTGTAACAACTGGTAAAAATCGGTCAAAGTTCGGCGGTCAAACCGCCGTGAACCGTTACGTATTAATGACCAATTGTGTGTAATTTTATGTTTATAATGTATATAAAATATATTATATTTATAAATTTCTTTTAGAAAATCTCGAACTGCTCGAACCATCTATCGTTAAAAATCGAGTCGAAAATCACCAAAAATTTAATTTATTTGTGGCGTTAAAAATAAATTTTTGCATCAGATATATCTAAGAGTTATGGATAAGATATTTGAATAGATTATGTTTTCCTGACTTCGTGGATATAAAGAACGTCCAAAACGGAGGTCGTATGAGAAAGACACGCCTCTTTTTTAAGTTATAAAAATCAATATTCATGTGATTTTCCTGAAACGAACAATGCATTGTTTCGTTTGGAATAGCTAAGAGTCTCGTAAACTGTTTTTGAGCATGTTTTTGAATTCAAACTATGGTCTATTATTTTATTATATTTTTATAATATTTTTAAACTCAACCGAAATCAGATTCGTAACCGAATCCAATCCTATAAATCGCGAAACTTTAAACGGATTTTCCCGAAGATCGGATTTAAGATCTGCTTGACTTTTTGGAAATCTTATAACCGAGATTATCATTTTTCATTTTCAGAAAAATTATTTGATATCGGGACCCAGGTCACACGAATCGAGAAAGTTATAAAATATCACCATTTTAGATATTCCAAATATGACATTGTACTTTGGCACTTTGAGTCATGCATAGTTGAACATAAACTTTCAACAATACAACTATAGCATCTATATTTATATTTTCTACCACATCACTCAATAATACATAATATACATGTTTATGTATACACAAATATATGATTATACATATACAAATACATGTAATATATACACCAATACATAGAATGATTCCTTCTAATTTTACCTCAAAGTACAACAATAAATGGAATTGACAAGTATGTTTCATCTTACCCAAAACTACACACAATTGTGTTATACAAAATCACACTACAAATTATACAAAACACACTCAATCTCTCTTAAACACACTTCTTCTTCTTCTTCTTTCTTTCTTTCTTCTTGGATCGTGGCTGCGAAAAAACAACAAGGGGCCATCAACCTCTTCTTTTGGTTCTTTTGTTACTCATTCCCTGTTAATCAAAACAAACCCCAAATATCCAATCCTTCATCAGTTTCTATCTAAACAATCAAAGAAGAAGAAATTTTTGTGTTCTTCCTTGTGCCTTACCTGTCGATTGAAACAATCCAAACACCCCTGAATGTTGTTGTATTCCCTCTGTGATTGTACCATAGGTTCAGAAAGAAGAAAACATAAGGGAGCAGCCGATTGCAGCCCCCACCGGTCGATGAAGCACCACCCAAACCCACCATCTTCTTCCTTCTTCTGTCGATCGGAGCCATTAAACCCCACCCATGGATGTTGACTGTTGTTGTTCTATTGCTCCGATCTGCCTTGCCCTTTCTTTGAGTTAACTGCTGACGACAGGAGGAAGGAGGCCAAGGGGAGTTGTCGAAGCAGCCCCACGCGCCACCGCTACCGCCAGCAACAGCGTCCCTTGCCACCGCAGACGACAACAACTTCCTTACATCCTTCGTTCCCTTTTCTTTCTGGAACAGGTGAAGACCGGAGATCCCCTTCTCCCTTTGTTTTCCTTTTCTGCCAACAATGAGTCATCTGAAACAAGAAAGGCTCGCCGGAATTATATGGTTGGCGCTCGATTCATGCATTTGTTCCCGTTTCACCTCCGATCGACCCCCCCCCCCCATGAAAGTGTCTGTTCCTTTTCCTTTTCCTTTTCCTTTGATCGAACTAAGGTCATCCGTTATACCCACCACTAACCACTATAGTGGTGGGTGCCACATCATCACCACTAACTACCACTAAAATTTTGGGATACTCACCACTATATCCCTCTTATTTTTTAATTAATTAAATTGTAGAGAGAGGTGGAGAAAGGTAGAGAGAGATAGAGAGAAATAGAAAGAGAAGTAAGTTGATTGGTTGTGGTGTCCCGTTCTTTCCACCACAAATGACCACGAAATAGTTCCACCACTAGCAAATTGGGATGGTGTTCACATTTGTGTTTAGTGGCCACCTAGACCACTAACCCTCTCGTGATGACCATACCAGATGGTTTAATGAACGGATAAAGAAGACGCAACCCTCTTTGTATATTTGATGAACTTGGCAAAATTAGTCCCTCTCCTTATTTGAAGAGAGCAAAACCCACCCTTTGTGGTAATTGTGTGATCAACAGCTCTATTGTTGGTGTATAATTACCAAATCAGCCCTCCAATACCTTGCTTTATTTAAATCTGTCCCTACTATTTATAATAATGGAACACAACGATTCATTTATCTTAATTGGTTACAAAACGAACCGGGAAATGTTTTAAAGTCCAAAAGTGGTGAATTTGTGGATTCTCACGACAAACTTCACGAAGCGAGCTTAGATCGAGATCACACATCGAATGTGAGTTTCTACGACCCCTCTTTTACAGTTTTAATATTTTGGGGAGAATACTTGAGTGTCTATTAAAGTTTTGATGATTTTCAAAGTTTTATACACAAAATAACACCATACTTTATTATTGGTCATAAGTTTATGAAAATAACAATCTAAAATGTATGAATCATAAATCAATTATATAAGTTATAGTAGAATGTTATAATTGACTTAATTATACTTTGTTGTGATATATTAATTAATATTAATAAAAATCACAAGATTTAAAAGTAGATTGATATAAAGATATAAGTTATTCGACGAATCATAAACCGTAATACTAGTCGTATATATGTGCACGAAAATATTGAGAAAGCATAAAAAGACATTATACACATAACAAAAAATGTTATTCAATATAATTGTGTACAAAGGAAATGTACATTGTCTTAAATGACTATAAACGAAGATTTGACAAATATATAATAATTAATTGAAAATATACCAAAAATCAATTATTATTATTATTATACCCTTGATCATAATGTGGAAACGATTACTAAGTAAACGATATAATTTATTTTTATAATTATTATAAAATTATAACTCATTTTAGTTGTGATACGAAATTTATCGCATATGCTAATATAATTGATTATCGGAATTTTGGGGATTATTACCTAATAAATTATATATCATATCAATTATGCAACTTATTGAATATCGGCATAAATGAGTATTCGGCTACGTGAACGAACATCCTCCTTATCGGCTGAAGTAAGGAACTACTCAAATTATTATCGCTACAATAGTCGAATGCTACGTTAAATTCATTATTTAACTAAATACACTAAGCTTTGAAAATCTTAATAATCTAAGATTCGCGTTAGTGATTCTAGTAAACGACGAATTTGTGAGCCGAGGAAATGTTGTCATGGAATTTGTGGATTGTGTATCCCGTGTGTGTTTGTGGGAGGAATATACCGAAAGGGGGTGAATGAGGGAGTTTTATGATGGTGTGTTTTTCCTTCGTAAGGATCAAATCTTGGAATTGACACCTAGCTCTATAACCGTTAATCCAGGAGGGATCATATACTGTAGGTCTATGTACACGACATAGATTTATAATAAAGAACGTTGGTATATATCTATTTCTTATGGAATGATTTATGCGGGATGACGTAGTTTCCCCGTCTGTGGTTGCTAGCTACAACTTCGTATGACAAGACAACAAGTGGCAAATGTTTCTTTCTTCGTTACTATACGACTATTTTTAAACGTTAGTAATGATCTCGATTCCTCAATTTTTATTTATATTGTGCCTGTGTGGCTTGTTTATTGTGCCTATGTGGCTTGTTTGTTTTGCATGTGTGGCTTGTTATATTGTGCATGTGTGGCTTGTGGAGGAGCGACATATAGTGTCAGTTATAGACAAATTGTTATATTGAAGATTTTTACTCGAAGAAGTATAAGTTTAGATTGAGTCAATCCTCCCAATTTGGGCCGAGTGTGCAAGAGTGTTTAGGTTGATAATTACATCTCCCCACGACAAATTCTTCGTAAGCAGAGACGTTTCAACTAATAGAATTGTAAAGAGAATGATTAATATTTGTCGTTGAAATTATACGTGTGGTAAAAATACACGTTTATAATTTACCGGTTGTTGAAAATTATTTTGGGATGAGTTTGTCCCACTGGTTAAGTGTCGATTTCCAAATTAAGTAAGATAATGCTTAATTAATAATACGACACGGATTTACAAAGTTTATAAAATTCAAAAATTATGAGTTTTACATATAAACTATACAAATGCTTGTACAAGGTTTCAAGAGTAAACTTGGCTACTTTATGTTTTCACAAAGTGTGATATGACTTTATTTTATATAAATTGATATTCAAAATCTTTATATAAAAATCATTATGGCAATGAGAACCGTAAGAATTTGTTATAAGTTTGGTTTACTTATATATTTTATAAATGATGTATTTTTGGATTTGAGCAAATGACATTTCTAAATGAGTTTAAATATACTTTTATGACTCAATTATTTTATACTTTTAATAAAAAAGAACGTGTTTGTAAAAGCTGGTCAACTAGATAAATTTTATAAAACATTTTGGAGTATAAAATTACTTTGTGTCAAAACCTGTAGAACTCACCAACAATTTGGTTGACGTATCGCAATGCATGTATTTTCATGTTATTTATAAAGTCGGAAGTGTTCGTACAGAAGATCCTCCGTTATTTTTATCAAACATTCGTAAACACCGGATTGTTAGGCATGTGTAGCGATTCAACAATAATTATTGTCAATGTCAATTTCCATTTCGGTAATAATAAAATATTATATTTGTACTGTTCAATGTATGTTCAATAACTGTGATTACTGGTTTACGTCGCGCACCTCGGCGTTTCCGCCGGCGGCCGAGGGTGTGACCTATTTATAGTTGTTATTATGATTAATTAATTTTAAAAATTTAATTTGCTTAAAGATTTTAATTTCTATCATTTTATTTATTTAAAACATCAAACATTGTTTTTGTTTTTCAATGTAACAATATAATTTTTGTATATAATGTTAATTTTAACTATTATTGTTGTAAGTTATTTTAAATAACGTCTTTGGAAATTCTTAATTATTTTAATTTGGTTTCAGAAATTTAAATTTTTTAAAATTTATTTGCTGAATATTGTTAGTTTCTTTGATTGTAATTATTTAAAACAACAAACATTATTTTGTTTTTAAATATAACATTATACTTCTTTATATAATATTACTTTTAACTATTCTTATTGTAAGTTATTTTTAAGATACGTATTTGAAAATTCTTAATGATTATAAAAAATATTTTTCATGTTTTGTTTTGTTAATTTAGGATTACAATTTAGATTTAACACTATAATTTATAAGTTTTAACTATTTATAAAATAGTCTCTTCATTTTTTTTAAAGTTTAACTAAAATTTTAATTTAAGTTAACTGTTTTAACATTATATTGAAATTAATAATTTAACAATTTTTCAAAAATCATAAACTATACAAAAGTTGTGACTTTAAGATGACAATTGTTCACATACTACACATTATCTAAACTAATAAGTTATCTATAATATGTTAAAAAGTTAAAGTCATAATTTTATAAATATAAGTAAAATATGATATTTTAATATTCTAGTTTAGTTAATTTATGATTATAATTTAGTTTCTTCATGAGTTTAACATTATTAACCAACTTATAATAATTATTAGAAAGAAATTGAAAACTCATGGAGGTTTCAAATGCATGTGGTGCAAATAAAAATGTCTCTTTTATAAGTATACTAGACGAATGTCCGTGCGTTGCGCAGAAACACCTATATAGTTGAAATTTTTACAAATATATGTTTTTTTTTTAAATATAACAATAACGTTGTTGTTAAATTTGATATATAATTTGTGTACTTAATTAATATAATATATTGATTATTTTGAATTATATGATAATATATACATCTATTATAACTGCATAATCTCAATCGTTTGAATGACTTCTACCCGCGAGTTACACATGAATAAAATTAAATATAATATATGGTTTAATGTTATTTATAGTTGTTATTATTAATTAATTTTTTAAAATTTATTTGCTTAATGTTTTAATTTCTATCATTATAATTATTTAAAACATCAAACATTCTTTTTTTTTTTAATTTTAAAGGTAACAATATAATCATTTATATAGAGTTATTTTTAACTATTGTTATTGTAAGTTAATTTAAGCTATTTATTTGAAAACTTTTAAAGATTATAAAAATATCTTTAGGAAGTATTTTAGTTAAATGGAGATTACAATTTAGTTTTTGCATTTATCACTATAATTTATCACTTTTAACTATTTACAAAATATTCTTTGGTTTTTTAAGTGGAACTGAAATTTAAATTTAAGTTGACACTATAATGTTATATTTTAATTAACAATTTAAGTATTTTGTCCAAACTGTTCAAAAGTTGTAGCTTTAAACTGATAATAGTTTACATACAACAACATTTTAAATATAATAAATTAAGTATAATATGTTAAAAGTTAAAGACATAACTTTATAAGTAGAAGTAAAATATTATTTTAAAATTGAAAATTAATTTATTTATGATTACACTTTAGGTTTGATATTTATTTAACATTATTAACCAACTTATAATCATTATTAGAAAGGCACTATAATTTATCACTTTTAACTGTTTACAAAATATTTTTTAGGTTGTTTAAGTTAAACTAAAATTTATATTTAAGTTGAGCCTGTAATGTTATATTTAAACTAATAATTTAAGTATTTTATACAAATTGTTTCAAAATTATAACTTTAAAATGATAATGGTTTACATCCAATACTAT